TAAAACGCAAGTTCAAATCTAGTATTGGTTTATTCAGCTTTCATCGCATTGTTGCATGCTCAAATTTTTGTACTTGTGAAAAGTAGATCTGATGTATGTGTCTGGTGTCTTTATGGAACCTTCAGGTTCATAGAGATATATTCAATCTAAAATTTGAGATGATTTAACTTTTAATGAGCAGTGATTTTTGTTAAACCACTTTAGAATATTACTTAAAACCATGAGATTTGGGTTTTATTTTTTTTTTAAATAAAAAACTCCACCCAAATATTCTAAAATCACTTAAAACTCTATAACTTAAAATATTGGGTAAAATATGAGAGTATCTCTGTTTTTTGGGAAAGAACAATACAAATTTATTTTTTGTGGAAGCCTCTTAGTCCAGTGGTTTGAGTGAGAGTTCATTAATGTTTATACATTGGAGGTTCATGTTTCAATTTCTGGCAAAAGCGATTTATTAAACAATTATGCAGACTACAAAGAAAAGACTTACAAGGGATCTTCAGCATGGTGCAAGTAAACTCGGACAGGCATGAATCTTCATAGGACAGCTCAGGTGATGCAGTTAGTGTAGATCATGATAAGGCAGGTAGTATTATCGGTTGTCGAATCGTTTATGTAATCTTTGTCATAATTGTAATATCTTAATAAGTCAGCGTTAAAAAAAATACAACTCTTTTAACAAATGTGAATCTCAAATTTATAAAAAAAATGTACAGATTTTATGTAAATTTGCATACTAAATTAAGTTTTTTTTTAACAACAAAATCAAAACTAAGTAACTGATCTTATGGTTTGAAAAACCAAATCGGAGGTATGGATTCGACATAAAACATAGTTGAAGTGACTGTTAATTCTAATCAGCTATCTTATAATAATCATAATGGCTATACTATTTGTTAAATATAGATTTTTTGTTTGGTGAAGAAGTAAGAACTTTAACCAAAATATTTATAAAAAATAAAATAAAACTATGCGTCATTGCTCTTTGGAAAAAAAACAAAAAAAATATTTATTTATTTTTTCTTTAAAACATCCAAAAAGGATAAAAGAGGAATATTAAATCCTTTCTCACGATATATTTGCCGCATCCCTAAAACCTCACAAAACTCTCCGGCGTGTTTACTCTCACCGGAGATCAGAGCTCATTTCCAGATTCGTCCCATCTCTTCTTCTCATCTGTAAGTTAAACGCTGTCGTTTCTGGTTCTCGTTTTCAACTTCTTTTCCTACCGATTTCAATTGATCGTTCCGATACTTAGGGTTCGCCGATGTTTTTGTAGTTTTTGATTTAGCGATTGTCTTCCTCCGTGTATATCAGATTAAGTTCTCTTGTGGGAGATGTTCATCTGATTCCTCTCCGTAGACAAAGGAAAATGGCGTCAAGAGCGATCGTTAGGAGGAAGAATATCGTTTCTGATTACTTGAGTGTCTATGCTCGCTCAGCTCAAAGCTTTCACTCCATTGGAAACTCTCTTACCAACCATCCTCCCTTGGAAGCTGATCGTGTAGCCAAAGACAAGTCCTTTACAGGAGGAGGAGGATATGGTCTTCTTTCGCCTTCTAAAGACGGATACTTGGGACGTAGATTCCATGGTGGTTCTCACTTCTCGGGGATTGGTTTTGGATGTTCAGAAATGGGTTCTTCTCTGGGGATGAGATACATGAGCGTATCTATTCGTAATGCTACTACAGTTGCAGCTAAGAAACCGGAGGAAGAGGAGAAGAAGAAAGATGATGTGGCTGGTGTGAATAGGAAAGAGGCGTCTCCTGAGGAATGTGACCAAGCTGTTGAAAGTCTGAGCAGTGTTAAGGCAAGGGCCAAGGCTAAACGTATACAAGAATCCAAGAAGGTTGCTCGGTCGATTGTTCAGAGGACTTGGGCTTTTATTCTTGGGATTGGTCCTGCTTTAAGAGCTGTTGCTTCCATGAGCAGGTTTGAAACTTTTTTCTTTTGACATTTGTGTGTTCTTGTTTTCAAGGATATTGTACTGTAACTGTCTTCTCTACAGGGCGGATTGGGCGAAGACGCTAACTCACTGGAAACAGGAGTTTGTGTCAACATTGAAACATTATTGGCTAGGGACGAAATTACTCTGGGCTGACACTAGGATCAGTTCAAGATTGCTGCTTAAGTTGGCTGGTGGGAAGAGTCTCTCTAGAAGAGAAAGGCAACAGCTAACTAGGACAACGGCTGATATCTTTAGATTAGTGCCGTTTGCAGTGTTCATTCTTGTGCCGTTTATGGAGTTTCTGCTACCAGTTTTCTTGAAGCTCTTCCCTAATATGTTACCCTCAACTTTCCAGGACAAGATGAAAGAAGAGGTATGTTTCCAAGGAGTGTAGGCATTATCACCTTGGGTTACATTTTCCATGTTGCTCTTTTGTTAATGTACAGGAAGCATTGAAAAGGAAGTTACTTGCTAGGATAGAATACGCTAAGTTTCTTCAGGAAACGGCCAAAGAGATGGCTAAGGAAGTTAAACATTCAAGAACTGGTGAAGCAAAGCAAACCGCTGAAGACCTGGTTGAGTTTCTAGACAAGGCAAGTCATGGATTTTGTGTTGAGAACTCAGATGCTACCCTATCGTTTTGATTTTGATTTTTCATTCCTTATGTTCTTAAAATCTTGCCTTGCAGGTTCGAAAAGGTCGACTAGTCCAAAATGATGAAATTTTGGGCTTTGCAAAGCTTTTCAACGATGAACTTACTTTGGATAACATTAGCAGGTTTGATCTCTTTTTCTTTAGAATCTCAGAGATATTTTGTGTTCGTAAAGAGGTACATGTTCTGACAGTAATCACCTCTTTGTTTTCGATAACAGGCCTCGCTTGGTTAGCATGTGTAGAATTATGGGTATTAGCCCATATGGAACCGATGCTTACCTGCGATATATGCTCAGAAAAAGACTGAGGAGGTAAGATGCTTCGATGTCTTATTGTTATTGGACTTTTAACCTTGCTTTGATGATTAATTTTTACTCCTTTCAATGCAGCATTAAGGAAGACGATAAACTGATTAGAGCTGAGGGTGTGGATTCCCTCTCCGAAGCTGAGCTGCGCGAAGATTGCAGGGAACGGGGAATGCTGGGGACTCTTTCAGTTGAAGAGATGAGGCAACAGGTTTCTTTGTTATTTGTTAACCAAAATCCATTAGGAAAAGATAATGTTGCAACGTTAAATTTTTAGTATTAAAACGTTCTTGCAGCTTCGCGACTGGATGGACTTGTCACTTAATCATTCTGTTCCCTCGTCGTTACTGATCCTATCTAGGTAGGTTCCAGAACTCCTTTTGTCATTAATTCGTTCTTCCGTCGTTTTCATTGCGAATAAGTTTCTGATATGATTTTATATTCAGAGCATTCACGGTTGCCGGACGAGTTGAGGCAGATGCTGTCCGAGCAACTCTTTCTTCTCTTCCTGACGAGGTTGTGGATACAGTAGGTATTACTTCTCTGCCATCTGAAGACCCATTATCTGAGCGACTAAGGAAATTGGAGTACCTTGAGATGCAAGACGAACTGATCAAGGTCTGATATAAACCATTGATTGCATTAGTTTTCTTGAGGAAATTAGAGAACTCAGTTGATAAGTTCCACATTTTATATTGATAAATATGTAGAAAGAAGAAGAAAAAGAAAAAGAAGAGCTTACAAGGATTAAGGATGTTAAAGGTGGTGAAGAGGATAAGGCGCTGCAAGAGATGACCATACCAACTGCCAAAGAAGCACAAGAACAGGCCAGAGCTAGAGTTGTTGAACAACATGATGATCTCTGCAAGCTTAGCCTTGCACTGGGTGTTTTGGCTTCTGCTTCTGTAAGTAAAATTAGTTTATGTTTTCCAACAATGAATATCCAAAGCAGTTTTTACCCGTTACCTATTTGAGTCTGTTTGTCTTTGATATAAACAGTCAGTTTGTAGAGAGCGCGAAGAATTCCTGAGGTTGGTCAAGAAAGAGGTACAATGTCCACAAAAGCTCAAGCTCGTGTCGATAAGTAGTTGGCTTGATTAACATGTTGTGTCTTAGATTGAAATTCATTGTTTTTTTTTTGTTTCTTCAGGTGGAGTTCTATAACACAATGGTCGAGAGAGAAGATATTGATAGTGAAAAAGCTGCAATGAAGGCCTACAAAGCAGCTAGAGAAGATAGTGACCAAAGTGATGAAGTTGCTGAAGCAGATGAGGTTTCCTCTGCACTAATGGAAAAGGTAAAATTACTCAAAAATTGTTTCTATAGAATCTGAAACTCCCATGAGATTTGTGTATGAGAGCTAACTCATCAGGTATACTTTTTAAGGTTGACGGTCTGATTCAAAACCTCGAGAAGGAGATTGATGATGTGGATATCAAAATTGGCAAAGGCTGGTTGCTTCTTGACAGGTATATAGAGACATATTATACATCCTCTAATTTTTCTCGTCTCTGAGACTTGACATTCTAAAGTTGTAACGTTTTGTATGCACACAACACAGGGATCGAGATGGAAAAGTCACACCAGATGAAGTTGCAGCTGCTGCGATGTACCTGAAGGACACACTTGCTAACGAAGGCATTCAACAACTAATCAGTAGTCTCTCCAAAGATAAAGGTAAAGAATCACCTCTTTATTGAGCTCTTAATCTCTTTGAAGTTTGATCCTTTAATGGATCTTGAATCTGGTTTCTCAACAGAGGGAAGAATTATGGTGGAAGACATTGTAAGGTTGGGGAGATTGGGAAGTAAGCCAGAAGAAAATGCAACAGAAGAAGAATCAAATTAAAAGAAAAGAGTCCTCTGATTTTTTTGAAAGCCAGATGAGATACTACTACTACTCTTAGTTGTAGTGACGTTAGGTTTTTCATTCTGAGAGAAACTCTACATCATGTTTTGCTTAGACATAAGGAAGTTACATAATAGAAGGCGGCTAAGATTGAGTGAGACCTCAGACCTTTTGACTTCTGTTAGTTTATGTGAAAAGAGGCTAATAAAAAACAAACAAAAACGCTGTTTTAAGAGCTAAGAATTTAGTATTAGTCACAAGTAATCAAAAATTCGTTTGCCTTAAGTTAAAATAAATGATGTCTGCTAGACTGCTATTACCACGCTTATAACAAAAATTCATTTTAAGAAAAACAAACATCTTTGATACATGTCAATCGTCAAAGTGCAAGAGTTGTTTTAGAAAGATAGGTAACATCTATAAGATGGGCATGGCTGATGATGATGCATGGCGAAGGATCTAAGCTCCGTCAGCTAAAGGTGTGTTTACTGTACTGATGTAAAGAACTGCACCCAAAGAAAAAGAAAGAAAATTTGTATAGACATATAAAGAAGGTTGAGAGAAGATTGCAAGAGATTTTCGTTACCATTGTTTCCACGGATAAAGGCATCACCGTATTTGTTCTTGAGCTGCCCGTTAACATACTCCTCTGTCTGCTCCATTGCTATGTTCATATAGCCATCAAGACAAGCAAGAATGCCTGTGTAATAGAAGAAGAAAATGCAATTCGTGATCAAGAAGTCAGTATTAAGCTTGTAAGGAACCTAGACAAAAACTGATCAGGGTAACAAGAGAACACGTCGAGAAGAATGAAATATGTAGTTTCTCATTGCAGGGAAGCATGGTAAAAGAAGATATTAAAATGAGAATTGGCAAGGAGAAAACATACAATCAGCTAAATTGGTCACTGTGATCGAACAGTGGCTTGCCTTTGACTGGTTTATAAACCACAAAAGGTCACACTTTCTCTAGTTTCTCACATCTATATCAATGTATCCCTCTCTAAAACTCCACATATTGGCTTTTACAAAGATAAGAAAACGTTCTCAAGAAAAGTATTGGTAATGACCTTAAGAAACCACTGAAAATGTACTAAAAACAATTCAGCAAAGCCTTACATATGAATATGGATAAGCCAAAGAAACAAGACCCAAGTCAAGACTTGTAACCTAAAGTGCAGCAGAGATAGCTAAGCAAATTCCAAAAACACTATCTCACCAATCAACACTACAGAACCACAGCTATAAAAAGCCACACAAACACACATAAGAAAAAAGAAGATAGACTCACCACGATAATCAACACCAGAGTTCAATTTGACAACAACAGGTCTCCCACGGATGGATTTGAGGAAATCAGCAGGTGTCTTTGTAGTTCCAGATACTTTATTATCTCCACTTCCACTCATCTTACTTTTCTTCTTCAAAGCACGATCCTTTTAACATAAACAGAGAGAGAGATCTGAAATCAGCTAAGTCGCTCAACTCAAACGAGACTGGGACTCAGATACACCACCAAAACTCATATATACATTTGTCGTCAAGAGTAAGCAATACCCGTAAACAACAACAATCAAAACTAACCTACCTATCACGAGAGTAAGTTCGTAGTACCCAAAAGCTCTAAACTTTCGACCCAGTGAGAAGCTAATCGATTGAACAACTATCGAAAAATTGAAACTTTGCAATGGATTCAAAGAACTAAGAAGAAACCCTATACCTTACCTTCGAGTCTACACCTCTGTTCGTTCGTTCGTTCGTTCGTGTGCAGAGAGACTAGAGAGAGAGATTAACCTAAGGGGTTTATTATTATTTTCAAAACTATATAGTATAAAATGATATTATTCGAGCTCTCCAGATATTAGTTAATGGTATTTTCATATAGGTCCTTGTATTATTAACTATGTTTTAATTTGGGCGTGAAATTAAAATATCAAGTGCGTTTCGGTTCGGTTCAGCATCTCAAAGGTTGTCGTCTTTCTTCTATCTCTCTCCTTTGTACCGTTAATCCTCAATATCTCTCCTCCCTCAACAATACAAGGCTATGCAGAGATCTAGGGTTGGCTCCACCTCAGCTCAGCCCGAGGAGGTTGAAGATGGAATGGGTTTTGTACCCTTTCATACTCCTTTCTTGATCATTACGTCTCCTCAAGATATCCAATTTTTAGAATTGATTGATTGATTATGGTTACTTTGAGCTTTGTGTTAATGTGTGATTGACCTTTTCCCCCTTACGAGTCTCAGTTTCAGGGATAATCGAATCTCTAAGGACACTTTACACTGATATATGTTCATGTCTTGATGAAAATTGAAGCTGATATGTAGCATTGAGGTTTGTGTCTGATTGATTCAAGAGTCTCTTGTGCTGCGTTGTGTTGATATGTAGCGTTGGGATTTGGTAATGGAGGTTCATTACAAGTTGATATGTAGCATTTGAGGTTTATAGACATGTCATGTGTTGCAATTTGTAAACAAAGACAGGAAGCATTTACACAAGTCAAAAAAATAAGATGCTTTGGTAATGGAGCATTTGCTACTTCTTTGCTTCAACTTCTATGAGTTTGCAGCATCATTCGTCATCTAGCAGCGATGAAGACGAATTTAGAAGATCAAGATCAAGTTCTAAAAGATCAAAGAAGGAGAAGAATCACCAGTCCAGCAGCAGAGACAAACACTCTAGCAAAAGTAAAGATGAAACAGATGGCCTTGTACCACTATCTAGATTCTTTGGCAATCTAAAGAGTTGAACAAACATGCAAATGAACCATTCCAAAGAGTTATAGGTCTGCACTTCATCAAAATACTCAAGTTAGGATATGATGGTTTTCTTCCCTGTTGCAATGTATTTATTATTATTTGTTGGATTGAAAGTTTATAATAATTCCCACATAATCGTTTCATTCTCTTTTCTTTCTTTAGTTTATTTGGTTAAAGAATATAATCTGATAATACCAAAATGGTTTATTTAGGATATCTAGCACAATATCTTAATACATAGCTAGGAGAGTAACTCCCTTAATCTTAAATACATATTTATTTAGAATATAATCTGACAAAGTCAATGTTCCTTTTCAACCTATTTATGCTTCAAGGCCGATAGCTAAGGCTTCAAAGTAGATTAAATCCTTAATATCCTCCTCTGTGAATGGATGTTCCTCTAAATCGAAGTTGTAGGGTGTCATGCACACTGGTTCATCGGCAATGTCATGCATCTCACTGAGATATTGATGTTTAAGCGCGTCTTCAACTGCAAAAATGGCCAACAAAATGGTGATGAAAATCTAAACCAAAAACTGCTAAAAAGAGACATAAACGTGTATATACTACAAACCTGAGATCCTCTCTCTAGGGTCAAACCTTAGCATCTTCTCGATCAAGTCAAGAGCTAAGTAAGGTACATTTTGGAATTTCGCAAAGAAAGATTGGCGACCATAATAAGGAAGCTGCCTTAAGTATAGCTTAGCATTTTCACTTAATGAGACCATTTCTTGTTCTGATGGAGAGCCTAGGAGCTGCAAATCAAAGTGAAAAATGTTTTCTTCTAAGTTAAAAATCGCTAAAATATTGTAGATTAACTTGGTTTTTTTTTATTACCTCCAAGATCAGATGAATCTGATGAGCATGATCTCTACCCGGGAAGATCGGTTGGCGAGTCAGCAACTCCAAGAAGATACAGCCAACAGACCAGATGTCTATTGCTGAGGTGTAAACAGAAGAGCTCAGCAGAAGCTCAGGTGCACTGTACCACCTTGTGACAACATACTCAGTCATTGTACTACTCTCTGAAGTATCAGGAGTAAGCCCAAAATCACATATCTTTAGTTGACAGTCTGTGTTCACTAAGAGATTGCTTGGTTTTAAATCTCTATGTAAAACATTGGCTGAGTGAATGTACTTTAATCCACGTAGGAGTTGGTACAAGAAAAACTGCGTTTAAAATAAAATAAAATAAAAATGAAGCTCTCTAAAAAATGATTTTAAGTTAAAAATATCGATATGAAAATCAAACCTCGTAATGAAGTGAGTCTAGTTCTTGACCGGATGTTATGATGTTATGAAGGTCCCTGTCCATAAACTCATATGCTATGTACACATCTTCAAAAGCATCTCTATTAGGAGGCACTATTATGTCTTTGATTCCAACAATCTATAGAAAAATGGTAATTACTTAAATATTAAGGTCTAATGATTAATTAAAAAAAAAGTAAGAAGAGATATTTTCGATATTCCCAATGAGATAGATGTTTTACGCCATGTCATAAAATAATGGTAAGATTAGGGTCTCTTCTTAATTAAAAAAATAGTGATGAAATCATACGGACATTTTCATGCTCAAAGTGACGCAGAAGCTTGATTTCACGGAGAGTTCTCTTTGCCTCTATTTTGTTTTCAAATGCATGACCAATCTTCTTTATTGCCACTTTTTCATTGGTTTCTGAGTCCATGATTGAACTGTTCAAAACAGTAAAACATAAATATATCAATTAATGTGTCAATAATATTCATAGCAACCATGAACAAAGGATCACCCTTAAAGGATGGAAACAAATGGTATATAAAAACTGTTGAAAAGGAGATTACCAAACGAGGCCATAAGCACCTCCGCCAATAAGCATAATTGGTGGCGTATACTTAGCTGTGAGTTCAAAGATATTCTCACATATGTTGTATTGTATGTATTTGCCGTCATGGCATGGATGCACAGTAATATTCTCAACGGATAGCACTTCAGGTGATGGATATGGCTGAGCGTTGGTGGTAACTCCGCCGTTAGTTTTCACAGTCTCATGAGCATCATTGGTTAGGTCCATGACTGCTCAGATTCTTTCAGTTTGAGCGTGGTGAGGTATTTGTTCTTTTCTTTTTGTTACGTTGATAGTGTGAGAGAAGATAACATATATAGTGATTAGATAAGCATGGGTGTCTAACTCACCAAAGAGCCATATAAACGTTTTTGGTAAAATCTAATATTTACAAATAATTTTGATGTATATCAATCTTGATGTCAATAGATATTTATTTGTCACCGTTAATTTATTCTTGACAATTTAGATATATCCAGAAATTTATGTGGCTCATGTTAATAGATTTTTTTTCCACGTGGTTCATACTTATAGGTTTATTTGCTAAACAATATATGTCGTGAAGCGATAAATAGATATTTATGAAAATATTTAGAAGTATGTGTTTAATAAAATTCACTATTTTAAGTAGTCTTATTTATAGAATGTTGTCAATTCATTTTTCCTATATATTATTGATGTTTTAGTTCTTTAGGTATATGTTAATCATATGAATGTATTAATAAAACAATTACACATATAATAAATAGTATGTTCATACTAAAATGATAAATGAGTTTATAAAGATATCTAAAAATAAGAATTTTGATAAATTTTAATATCTTTAAGAAATTATTTATTATAAGAAATGTTGTTGTAAATTCATTTTTTTTATATATATTCTTATAGATGCACATAAATTCTATGTCATTGTGATTACTGAAATAAATTTTCAAAACTATCATTTCATTTTTTTCTATAATATACAATCAGAAAGGATTTTATATCATATATATGTGTCAACACCCATTTTTAAAAAATCAAGGGGTGGTCGAGTTTGAGCTGTTCCGAAAATACACTCGGTCCGGCTGGGTTTGATCAACATGGAAAATGAGAATGTTGTTGCTTCTCGCCATCTTTTCTAGGGCGTCTGCTCATACGTTCCTCGCTCTGATAATATGGGAGATGCTGTAACCCGAAAAACAGTCTCGTATGAGATGGAATGAGACCAGCTCCGAAGCAAAAGCCCACCAGTCGATTGGACTCGCAATCATGCTCACCAAGTCGGAACAGTTTGTATGTACATGTATCGTGGTTTCTAACAACACACATAAGCAAGACATTGCCCAAATAAGTCATTACATCTCTGCATCGAGCGCCAAGATGCTTTGCCGACATCCTTGAAGTCCAAAATGTTCCACCCCCATTTGATCCTTATAAGTCCAACCGAGTCCACTGAACAAACCATGATTGACCGAGGAGGCATCAATTTAGTAGGTTAGGATCTGGTTGTCTATGATTGGGGTCGAGCTGATAAGTGGGAGATATGGTACAACATCTTCCTCTTCGTCCTCTTTAGGGTTTGGAACTCTCCAACATTCTGCTTATGTCTTAGCTAACTGAAGAATATCAATAGGTGAGACTTCTTTTCCATTAAACACTTTATCATTTTTTTTCTTTTTTTTTTATTATATATATATATATATATATATATATATATATTACAAAATTATCATTAGTCTGAAATCATATCGATGCTTTTTGCTTCTTGGGCTTGAGTTTAATTTTTTATTTTGTTTGTGTTCTACTAACAAATGATGTCTATTAATTTTGAATTAAAAATATAGTCATAACAAAACTGTTTCAAAAATGTTAATTCATCACCTTACAGACTTTTTTGGAGTTAGGAGAATTGTGTAATTTTCTAAATTACCCCTAATATGTAAAAATGTATATATTTGATTTAATATAAATTTGGTAACAAATTTTGGATACATTTCCTTTTATTTCATTCCCTAATTTTTATTAAAGAAACTTTTTAAAGATTTTATTTTACATGTCCTATTTTTAACTAAAATCATAAATTCAGTATATTAGTAATTTATAAAGAAATTAAATTTTATTTTTTTTTCTATATATTATGAAATTCATATAATATCTTGAAGTAAATAACACTATACTATGAACTTAGATTTAGTTTGCAAGTCTATTGGATGAAAAATTTGGTAGGTTAGTATATTTTTCTTTTTAGAGAATAAAATATTATATTATTCCTACCAAAATTAATTATTTCTCTTTTCCTATACTTGCTTTTCTTTTGGTAATGATATGATTCTTATTATAGCTGCTAGCAAAATAAACTACAATAGTTTCTATGATCTCAAATGGTTACATTTTTTACTATATCCTGAAAATAAATTGTGAATTAATAGTAAAAAGGCAGTCCAGCAATCTAATGATCATTCCACTGCATCACCACTTCACCAAGTAAACATTTTTTTCAATCCATTAAAAATGTATCATTGTATTTCTACTTATGATGATTAAAAAACAGTCACTTCTACTTGATTTATTAAGATTTATTGCTTAAGGTTTTAATTATACTTACACATTCGAAAATTATTAGTTGTGATCGAGTACTAGTGAGCTAAGTAAAATGACAGATAATTGTAATTTAATGTAAAAATTGTAATTTGATATTGAATTAATTTGTGTTAAGACAAAAAAAGATATTGAATTAAGTTATAGATTTATAGTCATTGAACTAGATTAATGGAGACTTGACATGTTTATGCTCTACTAAGATAAGTTTTCCAAAGAACTTTATTTCTAATAAGATTTTTTGCTTCACTAGAAGTTAATTAACATATTACTAAGATTTTTTAAATGAGGTTGGAACTAACAATCATATAAAAGTTGGAGAGAATGAGCAATACTTGTGCATTATTAAAAATGGTTTTGTGTTGCTATACAATTTATTTTTATTTGGCCGCTCAATTTGCATAAAATTTTCATTTTAAGGTTCTTTTAGTAACAGTTAAATATATTTTGTTAGACCATGTCACTTGTAAAACAATTTCATATGCATGAGAACTTAATATTGCATCAATTTTTCTAATGAGATTTTAGCTCTAAATAGCAATACTAATATGCCAAATACTACAATTTTTATCTCATGAAAAAGTCAATATGAGAATAGAACAATTCAGATCATTTTCTTCATATATTGATTTTAAACCTCTAATTATTATGATAACTTAACAACGGTGAAAAGTGATTAGAAGTATTAAACCAATACACAACAACTTATTTCTAGCGACTATAGTTTCATGTCATTTAATTGTTTATATTTTTGTTTATCTATTTTTTTATTTTTTTTATTTTCTAATCAAGTTTAATTTGAAATAGTTTTAAGACTATTAAAAATTAGTAGAAAGTGGAAAATGACACCAACTAACAATTCTAAATACAATATATAGTAGAAAATCAATGAATCTCATCAATTATATTAAATTTATGCTAGATACTCAATGAGTGCTTTGCTATTATTTGGTGGAAATTTGTTGATATATTTTCATGATTCTACTGTTCTGTGTAATAACATTATGTATTTTTGATTTAGTCTATCTGTTTTGTTTATAAGTTACTTTTTAAGAATTAGAATAGGATTGTAATGAGTTCTTGATATGAAACATGGATATTTTGTTGGAAGTTTAAATATCATAATACACGTCACTGATTATGAAAATTTAACCCATGATATGGTTATTTCTTTCTTTTTCTGTGTATGAAATATGTTTTTTAATTGTATTGTATATTGTTTTACATATTTTTAGACAACTATGAAGATCGAATTAATGTTATACAATGCCATCCCTATGAAAATATTTGTGTTAAGTGTAAGTAAAGTGAGACAATACTCCACACTTCTATAGTTTGAATCGGAAAAACACACACATAAAAAAATATTTTATGCATTAATAGTTATTTTAAAACGTGAAAACATGGAGTTACTTATGTTTCCAGAGTTTATTTCAATACATACTAAATCATATGTGATTAAAAAGAGTGATAATTGTGTAACTATATATATTTTACTATCACAATTATATTTTGTTGGCCTATGAACAATTCATATACATGTCAACATCTCTAAATATGGGATTTAAATATTCAAATGCTATTTACATGGTGCTTTTATATTAAAACAATATATTTACAGATTTACTAGTTGATATCACAAATCTACATACACATCCAAAATCTATATAATTAATTATTTTATTCACTTAAATAAAACAAAACTCAACATTATGATCGGCCCGGTTCAACCCAGTTATAATTGCAATTACAGCCTAAAGGCAAATTGAGTTAAAATTTTGATATTATGATTGGCTAGTTATAACAAAATCATACTTTGGGGGTTGATTTTCACATTACTTTCCAATATAGGAGTCTTTTTGTTAATTACTAAATACCGCCGGTGAAGTTTATCATCACTCCTCTCTGGTTTTAAGGTTTCGGAAGATCACAAACGGCTGAACTCGTCGGTGGCTACTCTCAGAGTCAGAGGTATGTAATCCCGAGAGACTTAGGGTTTCATTTTCTACTAAGCTTGTTTGGGAACTTTAGTGTCAGTATTGTTTAGTATGTAATCATATCAACTCTTGCTTGATATTGTAACTTCTAGGCGTGTACAGTGTGTTTTCTATATCCTTTGTTTTGCTACTACTACAAGTAATGGGGTTCAAATCTTGAGATATGCAATACTGTGAAGCAAGCTCAAAGCTTCACATAGACTGATTAAGTTTGCGAATTGCCTCTGTTCCCTACAGTGCTTCTCAAGGACCTGTCTCCAATGGCAATCAACGGACTTATTAGATCTTACAAGCAAGCGCCTATTATGTTGCTAAGTGGACCACAAAAGCTTTGGGACATGCGTCAGGGAGGAGTTCCCTGATCAATACCAACTCTCAGATGCAGCCGAATAAGATATTCACTGGCGGTGTGGTTAAGGATGTAAAAGTTTGGCAAGTGATCATGACCGACCCTTGAAGGCCATCAAGATACGATAACTGGTATGAGCATAAGTCCAGACGGGCCTTACCTTCTCACAAATCGAATGTGTGAAGATTTTTGAAGGGAACCAACACAACTTTGAAAAGAACTTGTTGAAGTGTGCATGGTCATCAGATGGTAAGTTAAGTCGAAGCTGGTAGTGCTGATCGAATGGTTCATGTATGGGACACGACGTCTAGGAGGATTCTGTATAAGCTCCCCGGTCATAATG